ATGGGTTTTAGCTTCACACCAATGTAAATACGAAAATAGCTTCTACAATTGTCACACATTTTCATTCCAGAATTTGTGTTGCACTTAACAAAAAACATTGGAATCAGAAAGGCAGCCTTTGGTTTTCTGTGTCAAACAATGTCCAATAGAAAACCATGTTTACTTTTAAGTGCAGCAATTACAATGCAAAAGTGTCCAAGATTTCTTTTTTATCAGAAAAAGTCCACGACCAAACGGTCAACATGAAGCACTGGTGAGGCATGACTGTAACATATGGATCACTGCAGCATATTAATTTTCAGTGACTGGACTTTTGGGGAAAGCTTCTTCCCATCTAGGTTCATCAGTATCTTTTGGAAAACTTCAAATGTGCACTTCCATTCTTGTAGGTAACTCAAATTGAGAGCATAGATCAATCCAAACAGCATGGCACATCCAGAAGTGATACTTGGCAGGCCTACAAGTACCTCCTCTCCTTCAATCAGCACTCCCACATCCTCTGGATCTTCTTCGGGCTCTGCATTTTCTTTCCTGATCACATAGACCCCCATGGTGGTCAGAGGAAACTCTCTCTCCATGTCATCTGTGTCAACACTCTAAGGGAGACCAGCACAGAGACAAACAAGTTATACAGTGTTTGATAATTTTTAGAGTAAAGGTGCCTCCAAATAAACTTGTTTCTACTGACTTCAAGAGACTTAGGATTATTGTACTCTTGGTGTGTTATTGGTCAATATCATACAGAAGAATTCTGCATCAATTTGAAGACAAAAGACTCTTCTGAATCATTAAGATAATTGTCTCAGTGTTTATCTGAGTCTCTCCTCACATGCTCACAACATAGGCAACAGTTTCTTGTCCCTGAACCACCTTAGCAAAGTACTAGGGCTCAGGAATTAAGCAGCACTATCCAGTGAACAGAGCAAGAAAACACTGCTTGATCTGTGTGTACTGTCTGTGCAATATCCAATTCAAAACTAACTGTCATTCTTTTAGAAAAAATAAGCAGGATTCTTCTTCTCACTGTTATTTTCTCAGTATCTCATAGATAATTACTACATAAGTTTAAAGACAGCTGATCAAGTCAATACAATATGCTTATATACATTAATTATCTACTCACTGAGAACTCCTTGAGTGGCTTGCTGTCCTCATTCAGGTAAACACACAGGCTTTTCAAGACGCAGTCTCGTTTGATGCGTATGTCATCTCTCTGCAGTGAGAATTAATTCAGCATTAAATAAAATTGACACATATCTTTTAAATAACAAACATCCAGAGTACACACCTTAGTTGTCAATGTCATTATCTGGTGGATCTTTTTTCCTGCAACTCCCCCCTTGTTGCGGAAAACTTTCATCAGGTTTTCTGTTAACTTGTCCAACTGGGAGAAGAACCGTGATTCAAGAGGCATCACATTGATCCGCATGAACTCTGCGTTAACCTGTTGGACAAAATGAAATGACAAGTCATACTGCTGAAAAACCTGCTAAAACAAACGGAACACCACAACTTTGCAAAAACAAAAATAAAAAAAAATCAAGTGGAATAGTAGCTGATGCCAACATGCTTTTGGATCTATTTATTATACTTACTTCTTCAGCCTTGAAAAGAGCCGGCCATCTGTTTTGGATTTCAGCAACCATGGATGTGTTGTCAACTACTTCTTGTCTCCTGTGCGAAAAGGTAAGTTGCATTTTTTCTCTGATCACAGCTCCATTGTTCTTCTTCTTCACTTCAGTCAAAAGAGCAACCCGTTCCCTTTCCAGACTGTCTTTGGTTTCTCCTTTTGGGTAACATGGAAGAAAGTGCACCTCTGCCTTCTTAGGCTTCTTTATGTTAGCAGCAGGCTTTGCCTGGCCCTGGCGCTTATTTTTCAGGGAGTTTATGGTGACTTTTGGGTGTCCATGTCGCCCAAGAATAGAGCGCAAGTTCGCCATCTTCACCTTCAGGTAAAGCTTCCATCCATCATATCCAGTCTCAGATCCCCTCTCACGCAAACAGGGGTGAGCCTCTGTAAGGGCCTTTGCAGCTTCTCCCAGCTGACCATTCTTTGGGTAAGCAGTGTACTTCATGATCTCCTCTGCCATGCCCTCCAGAATATCAGACCTCAACTTTGGAGGAGGTAACAGGAAAGTTCCATCTTTTTGAAATTCTGCATTTGCCCTCTCAAGTTGAAGCTCCTTGACCTAGTCTCAGGAGATGACGTAGACCCAGGAGATATATTACAGTACAATATTGTACTGTTGCCGTCAGATGAATCAAATGTATTTGAGACAAAGTATTCTCTTCATCTAGCGAGGAGGCAGAACTAGGTACCATACCAGCCGGAGTCAGAGGTGTAGTAAAGCTTGTGGCAGTCACTGATGGGCTTAACTCAATGCCAGAGGTCGTGGCATCACTGGAAAAGAAC